ATTAGTCCCACCAAGTCATTGTCCAAATGTGTCATCTCTGTTGGACGAGTCCTTACCTCAGCCTCCATCAAGCTGGAATCCCAAAGGTCCTCCTCAAGGTTGCTTCCTCTTCCCCAGGGTATTAATGCTGGATTGATTGCCACATTCTGCCTGGGGTCCAACTTTCAGATTTATGCAGCTCAATCCCATAACTTATGAAAACTCTCCAAGATAGAGATCCTAGCCTTTATGCTTGGAATGAAAAAGAATGAGCAAGAAGTCTAAGGACCAGAAACTTAGAGGCCTATTTGAAGATGCTGACAATTCTGATTAAAAAACCAATAGAAAAAGGCTCCTTTCAAACACATGAATAGCCAACTTGTAACAGCCAACCTGTTACAGAATGTCCATTCATGTGCCAGTATCCCCAAGGCATTTCTCTTACACACCGTCACAATTCTTCTGGAAGTAGCTTCTGACTGTATTCCATGTGGAAAGATTCCATCTGATGTAGTCTAGGCATGCACCAGACCTCTGTTACATTTTGATTGATCTATGCTTCATAAAGCATGGCTTCCAATCCCCATAGGATCCTAGTTGCCCTGTTCTTCATACAATTCAGCTTGTCAATATCATTTCTAAAATGTGGTGGCCAGAACTGAACAAAGTACTCCCAATATGATTTGATCTGCAGCTCTTCCAGTCTATCAGTCAACAAGCATTTATTAAGTGCTTAACACTGGGCAAATAAAGAAAGGCTAAACCAATTTTGGCCCTTAAGGAGCTTGCAACATGAAAAAACAATGTACATGCAAGGTAATGTATATATACAGGGTGAATGGGAGATAATCTTAGACTGAAGGTATCAGTACAGGAGAGATTTGGAAAACCTTCTTACAGAAGTTCAGATTTGAGCTGACTCTTGAACAAAGTCAGGGAAGCCAGTGGCCAGAGGTCAGCACAAAGAACATTTCAGGCATAGGGCATAGCCAAGAAAAAGTAGTGGTGTTTAGTGCAAGGTATAGCAAGAATGCCAGTGCTTCTGGATTGTAAAGTACATGGAAGTAAAAGAAGACTGGAGAGGTAGAAGGGAAACACATGGTGAAAGACTTTAGAAGGCAAATAGAAGATTTTATATTTGATCCTAGAGATGATGGGGAGCCAGTGGGATTTATTGAGCAAGAGAGTAACATAATCAGGTTTGTACTTTAATGAGGTCACTTTGGCAGCTGTGTGGAGAATGGACTAAAACAGGAAGAGACTTGAGGCAGGGACAATGTTTTTTTTCAATGCAACTTAGTGTTAGCTATTTTGGCTGCCATGTCAGACCAAGCTCATTTTGAGCCTGTAGTTCACTAAAATTCTCGTATCTTCTTCTTGCACACTGTAGTGCAATCATGTCTTCCCTAAACTATATTTGTGAGGTTGATAATTTCAGCCCAAATGTAGAATTTTAAATTTGTCTCTCTGAAATTTCATATAATTATATTTTGCATTTTGTTCTAGCCTGTCAGTATCTTTTCGGCTTTGAGCTCTGTCTTCCATGATAGCTATCCCTCCCAATTTCATTTCACTTAAAAATTTCATGATCGTGGCAGAATATCATTCCCCTGTTCTACCACTCTAATTATCTTATCCTAAAAGTAAATAAAGTTATTTAAGCACAATCTTTTCTTTCTTTTTTATTTTTTTACAACTCTTTTCTTGATGAAGCTATGTTGTCTCTTCCCTATTTAAATGATCAGAAACTATCCTTTCAATACTGAGTTCTGAATTTTGTCAGGAATTGAAGTCATTTGAATTGAAGTCATTTGTAGAATCTATCTTCTTGATTTTCTTGATAATTAAAATAAAATTTGCCCTTCTCTCTTACTGTAGCACCTCTCCCATTCTCTATGATCTTAAAAAATTAAATATTGTTTATATATTTTGTTTTACATCACCTAAATTTCTTCTTGTGTTCTTTCCCTTTTCCCCTCCCAGAGATCCATTTTATGTAGTAAATAATTTTTTAAGAAAAAAAGGAAAAGAGGAAGAAGAGAAAAAGAAATCAACAAAAAGAATCAATATACTGAAAAAAACCCCCTGAAAATATATGCAATATTCCAGAATTGTGGATCCCCCACTTCTGAGGGAGAGATGTCTTCTTATATTTCTTCTTTGTGGTCATTCTTGTTCTTTGTAATTTTTCAACTTGCACTTTCAATTGTTTTGTGATTATTCCTTTCATTTACATTGTTGTAGTCACTATGTGTGTATACATATGTGTACATATGTATATACACATTCTTATATGGACTCTACTTTTCAACAGTTTATGTAATAATAATAGCTAGCATTTATATATGCCTTTAAGGTTTTCAAAACACTTTAATATATTATCTCATTTGATCCTCTGAGATAGGTGCTATATTTTACGAATGAGGAAACTGAGGTTGAGAGAGGTCACATGATGTTCACAATGTCACATAACTACTGAGTATCTGAGATAGGATTTGAACTCAATCTTTTTTACTTCAGGACCAGCTCTCTATGCACTGTGACACTTAGCTGACATGTTTTTCTATGCTTTTCTGTATTCATCATATTCATTAGTTCTTAAAGCATAAAAATATTCCATTACATTCATGATTTGTTGAGCCATTGCCTAATCATTGGGCCTCTACTTTGTTTCCAGTTCTTTGCTACAAAAAGTGCAGCTCTACATATTTTGTTGTATATGGGGATTTAATTCTTATTAATTACCTTCTTGAGGTATAAACCTAGTAGTGACTGGAATCTCTGCATCAAAGAATATGGACATTTTATTCTCTTTGTGTAAGTACAAATTGCTTTCCAAAATGGTTATATCCATTCACAGCTTCACCAACAATGCCCTAGTGTGCCCATCTTCCTACTATAGCTCCAACATTTTGCCATCTTTGCCAGTTTGCTGAGTGTGAGATAAAATGTTGGGATTTTTTAAAATTTGCATTTCTTTGATTAGTGATTTGGAACATTTAAAAATATGATTGTTAATAATTTGCAGTGCTTCTGAGAACTGTTTGTTCATATCCTTTGACCACTTATCTATTGGCTTTTGGTCTTATGTATTTTTATTAGTTGTCCATATATCTTGAATTTTTGCTCTTGTTCAGTCATGTCAGTCATGTCTGACTCTTCATGACCCCATTTGCAGTTTTCTTGGCAAAGGTACTGGAGTAGTTTGCCATTTCCTTCTCCAGCTCATTTAACAGATGAGGAAACTGAGGCAAACAGGGGTAAGTGACTTGCCCAGGGTCACAGAGCTAGTAAGTATCTCAGTCTAGATTTGAACTCAGGCCTTCCTGACTCCAAGCCAGGTGCTCTATCCACTTTGCCACCTAGCTGCCTTATACTGAGATCTATGTGAATATATAAATATATGTATTTATAGACAGATATATAAATATATAACACTATTACAGAACATATAATGTATTATCAATTATATACAACATAGTAAATATATTTATTATATATTCATATATTATCTATAATGTGATAAATATTATAGTAAATATAATAGTGTACTGTATATTAACAGTTATTGTAACATTGTAAATATAATCATCACACAATATAATATATTATAATTTATTAAAATATTATAAATGTTATGCAGCATACATTTATAATATGTTTATGTCTCTTCTGCATATATACAGGATAAATTGGAGAGAATGTCAGAGGGAAGGCACTATGATTAAAGAAGACTGGGAGAGAGGCTTCTTACACAAAGTGGTAGTTTAGCCATGTTGATTCAATCCCAACCCTTTCAGAGCCAACTGTTCAACATTCGTACCTACTCAGCATTTTCAAACTGCAGGTCCAGTGCTGCTATCTAGCTAGCAAAGTGCTTTGTCTCAGGTGACTTTTTCCATATGGTATTATTAGTTACATGAGTATTCTTCAAAACCCCTCTGCTGTCTCTATTTCAAATTTGAGCTCAGGGATGTAACAGTAACAACCTTAGTGCTCAGCACAGTACCTTGCATGCACACTGTTTGGTGGTTAATGAATGTTTGCTGGATGGAGGCAGTGACTGGTGTAAAGCGCCGTGCATCTGGAATGGAAGACGTTGCTGGAGAAGACTCCAAGGCTAACCCTTCCAAGCTTCCTAAGCCTGTTTCCTCCCTTGTAGAACGAAGGTACTGTATTAGATGAACGGTATATAGTTAAAACTTTATCAACCTTACAAACGTTTCATAAATGCTATATTAATTTTAATATTACACTAAATATATTAATGTAATAAATAATATTTAAAAATCCTATGAATGGCCTCACTGGTCACCCCTTAGGCATGGCTCATTTTATCTAATGTATGGGGGAGATAATATATAGTTAATCAAATGTCAGGGAAAATCTGGGTGCCTAAATTGCAGCACACGTTAAGTGACACGTCGCCCTAGGTACAATGGAAGCCTTTCTCTATGTGGCCAAACTCTAGTTTGTTTTTTTTTTCTCCCCAGGGGGGATTAGCGGGGAGGGAGGAAGCGCTCTCAGGGCTGAATACTGAGGGCCGCCCTCACTGACATGGTCCTCCGGCATCCCATCGTCCCCCGCGACATGGACACGTCCTCTCCTTGGCGGCCGCTCTGCCCCGCCGGCCCGGCGCACTCTCGGTGATCCGCAGCAGCCCAGGGGGCGGGTGTCATGGCTGCCAGCGTCGAGTTGGCAGGACTTGTCTGCGGGGCTGGCGGAAAGTGGCCGAAGTAGCCGGACAGACGTATGGCCCGGCGTATCAGGAGCTCCCGGGCATGAGCCAGGCTTCCCTCGCAGGGAAGGATTTCTCGGTGTTGGCGGCTGTCCGTCGTTCGCGGCTCGGGAGCAGTCTGGGCGGTGGTGGGCTGTGGAGGGGCCGGCCTGTCGCTCCCCTCGGAGGCCGGCGTCGCCTTGGAAACGGGCGGAGCGCTTCGGGCGCCTGACCGGGGGGCTGCCGTCGCCCGCGGGAGCCGGGCCAGCGGCTGCGGGGACACGGCTCAGGCCCGGACGGGGAGGGAGCTGCTTCGCAGTCAGCCGCAGCGATGTCTTCGTGGCTCGGCAGCCTGGGCTCCGGCCTGGGCCAGTCCCTGGGACAGGTGGGCGGCAGCTTGTCTTCTCTCACGGGCCAGATCTCCAACTTCACCAAGGACATGCTGCTGGAGGGCACGGAGGAGGTGGAAGGTAACACTGGGGCTCCGGGGAATCCCAGGAAGGATTTGGGACCTGGACTGTTAGCTAAGGGTCATCCAGCCCAGCCTTCATATTTAACAGTGGGGACATTGAGGCACAGAGATCACGCCGGTAGTGATATTGACCCGGGTCCTCTGACTTCTCGTTCCAGTTACCTTTCCACTGCCGAACTGGCTGGCCTCCAGTTTTTACCTATCCCCTGTACAGGTCTGGAAAGAAATGTCACTTTTTTTTCTTTTCCTTTAGCTCCCTTGTCTGACCTCATTCTGTGAAGTTCCTGCCCTGCTCTCCTTTCCTTGAGGTCCTCTCTCTTTTAGCCAAGATCTTCAGTTTCCTTATCCTCCTTCCCTCCTCCTCAGTTATCGATTTCGTCTTCAACTTAGAAATGTTTACTTTGGCATCTTGGGCCGGGAAAAAATCGACTGTTCAACAGTACTTTCTTATCCAGGAATGCCTCTTTCTAGAATTGAAGGGGGACCTAAGCTCTGGGTCTCAAAATTAAAAAAAAAAAATCTCATTACTCTCAGAAAATACATTTGTTTATCACAATTTTTGCAAATTTAATTTTTCTCTTTACTGTCACATCTTTGTGAGACCAGTAAAACCAAAACACTATTAACTGACCTCTATGCTGTTGACTAGCCCCAATAGACATAAAGCAGCTTTTTCTGTGTTCTCTCTGATTTAGGGTATCTTCTATTAGTAAAACATGGTTGTGTTTTAAAAATTGATTCTTATTCTTATCACTTTTTTTGCTTTTTCTGTAGTCAACTTTGACTTGTGCTTATTTTTAATCTGTATTCTTTTTTCATTTTCTGCATTTTTCCACTGTCAAATGGTGCTTTGTATTTAAATAGTACTAAACAGTTTTCAAAGCATGTTTTCACTAATACTATCTTGTTGAGTTCTGACAACAGCATTGTGAGATAGGCACAATAGGCATTTTTTCCTCCATTTTTAGTTAAGAAAACTGAAGCTTAGAAAAGCAAAATTAGAGAGTCCCTGGTCCATTGGAACCCAAGTAATCAAATGTTTTAGATTCTCATTCCTTTTTCTTTCAATTACTGTTGTTGTAGACATCAGCTAAGAACAGTGACTCACCCAGAGTTTCACAATAGCAAATAATAACTATTTGCAATTATATGGTACTTTATGATTACAAATCGATTTGTATCTTGTATCTTATGTAATATTCCTAACAGCCCTGGGAGACAGTGACATTACCTAACACAAATATGGGGTGCTTCTGAAACCCAGGTCTTTAAACCCAAAGTCCAGTATTCTTTCCATTATATCAAATTACCTCTCATATAGCTAATTGAAAACTAATATTTACTGACATTTCTGTCTGTTTGGCAATTTGTGACTGCTTTAAGTGATTTTGGAGAGTCACAGAGTTTCTGAGTTGGAACATCAGTGACCTACAGCTAGGTGGTGCAGTGTATCAGGTCCTTAACCAGGAGGCAGGAAGATTCATTCATTTTCTGTCTTATACTTAATAGCTGTGTGATTTTGGGCAAGTCACTTTACCTCTGTCAGTCTTAGTTTCCCCTTGATGGGGCATGGAACTTTCCAGCTCTAAATCTGTGATCCTATGATGCTAAGTGGTCCTACCCATTCCTCTGAAAACAATCTCTACTCTAACAAGTGATCTTCCTGGCCCTCCTAGAAGATCTCCATTGAAATGTAGCCCACCATTTTCAGCCCTTTGCACTTTGGACAGCTTTGCTTCTCAGGAAATTTTTCCTGAAATCAAGCTTAGGTTTGTTTCTTTGCAGCTTCCACTCATTGTTTTGCTCTCTGGGTACAACAGAGCAAATCTAATCATACCATAAGACAGCTCTTCAGACACTTGAAAACTTAAATTTGTTCCTAAGTGCTTTCTTCAGGATAAACATACTTAGGTAAATATTCCTTCAGCTAGTCTTCATATGATGTGGACTCAAGGTCCTTTATCATCCTGGTTGCCCTCCTCTAGAAACCCTCTAGCTTATGAATGCCCTTAAACTGTGGTCCTCAGAACTTAATGCAGTACTACAGATATGGTCTGACCAAAGCAGAGTGTGGAGGAGCTGTTACTTCTCCATTCCTGGAAGCATTGTCTCTCTTTAAAAAAAATTATGCACTAGAAAATAATCAACAAAAGAACATTTCCATATGCAAAGTAGAACAGAAAAAGATTATATACAAAACCATGAATCTACTATATACAACTTAGTCTTTAAAAAAAATCTGTGTATCATGATAATTTAACATGGTAGTACCAGTATTGCTCTCCGCTTGCTTGTGTGTCTTCCAAACTTCTTTCTGTTCTCTTCTGTGATTTTAAAAAACAACAGTGTCTTTTAATGTAGTCCAATATTGTGTTAACCTTTTGGCTGCCTTATCACACTGCTGATTCATAGTAGCCTTTCAGTCTACTAAAACTGGCATTTTTTTTTTTAGACAGTCTGCTCTTTAAACATTCCTTTCCCATTCTGTACTTGTGAGCTTGACTTTCTTTAACCCTAGTGTAAGACTTTACATTTATTCCTGTTTAATTTCTTCTCATAAGTCAGTGCTCATAAGTTAATGCTCCAGACTATCAACTTTTTCACTCTTGACTCTGTCATCCAGTGTTAATTGTCTTTTTCAGCTTTTTGTCATCTGCATGTTTAATGAGCACGTATTTTATGCCCTTATTCAAGTCATTGATAAAATTATTAAACCACTTGGGGCCAAGCATAGATCCTTACCTAATCTAGTGGTTTCCAAATCCATGGGGATTGGGAGAGGATAGGAAGGGAGTAATTTGAGTAATGGGAATTTACATAAAGCAGGAACTGTCTGTATACATATTGGGAGTGCATGCTCAAAAATTTCTTACTGATAGGGTGAAGTAATAAAAAACTTGGAAAATACTAGTTCATATCTTTCCATCTTTTCCACAAGAATAACATGAGAAACTGTGTCAAATGTTTTTATAAAATCTAGATAAATTGTATCTTCAGCATTCCCATTCTACCAGCCTTACTAATCCTGTAAAAACTGGAAATGAACTTCATCTGTCATAACTTGTAATCATTCAGTCCACTAGGCTTTTAAAAAGTGTCCACTGTGTTTTAGACATTTTACTAGGTACTAGAATAAATCCAAAGGTAAGATAGTTATTGCCCTTAAGCTTATATTCTACTTATGTTCACACATAAGTAAATACCAGAGATACACAAAATAAATGCAGAAAGATATGAAGGGCAAATCACTTAACAACTGGGGGAATAAGGAAAGAACTGTTGAAAAAAGTGGCATTAGAACTGAACCTTTTAAGAGTTAGAAGTATAAAAATCAGAGGTAAGAGGGAGAGCATTCCAGGAATGAGGTAAAGGCTGTGCAAAGGTATTTTGGTGGGAGATGGCATGTCCTGTATAGGGAACAGTAAACAGCCAAACTCTACTTTGGGTGGAATCTGAGGGGGAGTAATATGTAATCAGTTTGTAAAGATAGATTAGAACCAGATTGTGAAGGACTTTAAATGCCGGATGAGATTGTATTTTATCTAAGAAGCATTGGGGAAATACTGATGCTTCTTAAACAGTTAACTCATATGGTCAGACCTTTACTGTGTACAGGATGGATTGGAATAGGGGAGAGACACAGGGAGCTAAATTAGGAGACTAGGTGAGAAATGACAAGGTCCTGGACCAGGGTGATAGAGAGAAGGGGATGGGTGTTAGAAATATTGAAACAGAATCAATAAGATTTCGCAACTGATTGGATTTGGGGGGATGAGAGTGAATGGAGTGTTGAGGATAATTCCAGAGTTGTGAAGCTGAGTGCCTAGAAGAATGGTGGTACCCTCGATAGAAATAGGAAAGTTAGGAAGGGTTGGTTTGGGGGAACAATAATGAGTTCTGTTTTAGAGATGATGAGTTTGAGATGCCTTTGGAGCATCCAGTTGCAAATGTGAAATTGGAGATCAGGAGTGAGATTAGGGCTGGGTATATAGATTTGGAAATTATCTGCATAGATATGATCATTGAATCTATGGGAACTGATAAAATCATTAAGAGAGTCTTGAGAGAGAAAAGAGTGCCTAAAACAGAGCCCTGTATTACACTCACACATAGGACATGGATGATTATACTGCAGAGGAGACTGAGAGGTAACTGTCATACAGGTAGGAGGAGAACCATAACAAAAGAATATCTAGAAAATTTAGAGAGGAGAAAGTGTCCAGAAGGAAGGAATGGTCAGTAGTATCAAATGCATAGGTCAAGAAGGATAAAGACTGAGAGAAAGCCATTGGATTGAGTAATAGATTATTGGTGACCTTAGAGAAAGCAATTTAAGTTGAGTGATGTGAATGAAAGTGAGATTGTAAGGAGTTGAGAAGTAAAATTGGAAAGTTATGGAGTGTTGGGAGTTTTTTCTAGGAATTTGGTTCTAATGGGGTATGAGTTAGAGGCCGGTAGATTGAAGAATTGGTAAGGTCAAGTGTTTTTTTTTTTTTAAATGATGGTGGAGATTTTGGTTATTTTGAAGGCATGAAGGAAGGAGCTAGAAGAGGAGAAACTAAAAATTAGGGTAAAAAGGAATAATTGAATGGGAAAACTGCAGGAGGAGGTGGAAAGTGATGATGCGCTCTTGGGTTAGTGTGGTTAGTGTGGACAAGGAGAAAGGCAGCTTGTCCTAAGATGAACAAAGGAAAGGATAGGGATGGTTCAGAGATGATTTGAAATTTTAAATGGGATAAGAGAGGGAGCTTTGATGGATAGTGAAATATGAAATGAGGTGCTCTTCTGTGAGGTTGTGATGGTATATAGGTGGCTCAAAAAGAGAATAAAATGTTGTGACTGTCATTAGGGGTCTTGTGATTAAAAAGTTAATCAAGAAAGTGTAAAAGAGTTGGTGTGTAGCAGAGCCATCCTATTGAGATTGCATTAAATAAGGGAACCAATCAAACATGATTATGTGACTTTCTCCTTTGGCATTCAACAATAAGTGAGCAGGGG